ATTTAAATGCATTTATACTAATTTTTGTTTAGAGGTATCCACGTACCGTATCTAATTTTTGGGTACTTTTTAGATGTACCCGCGTATCTCTCATTTAGGGATTTGATGAGTCTGACTCTTAGATACATACCCGCACCCGACACCCGTACTTGAGTCCGTGTAACGTACTTAGTCCAAAGGAAATGCCTCAGTTTTGGTGGAATGTTAAGACTCCAAATAAATTTCCAGTCCTGGTCAGACCATTTGAAAGATGAAGAAGGTAGAGCTTGAAGAGAGGCAGCACCCTGATTCCGAGCACATTGATACCCAGATTTAACAGTGTGGGCTCCCTTAGGATTGAAGTGCCAAACCAATTGATGATCGTTGTCTTCTACAGAAGCATGAATTATGAAGATAGCCTCACTTTCTGCTTTGGAGACTAAATTCCTTAGCTTCGAATGGTCCTAATCTTTCAAGGAGGGGTCAATAACATCGCTATTGCGGGCAACCAAATTACTCACAGGTCTTCTAGATGCAATCTTAAAATCAGGAGCTGTTGGTAACCATTTGTCATCCCAGAAATGAATTAAATTGCCATTGTGGACTTGCCACCTCAACCCATCATTTAACACCTTTCAACCCTGAAGAATGCTCAACCAAGCCCATAAGGTCAAGCCCCTTTTGAAGCATGCATAAAATCTGAATATGGGAAAAAATTTCCCTTCATAAACTATGTAAAAAAAGATTGAGGGAATTTAACAAGCCTTCAACCTTGTCGCGCAAGCAAGGCCTTGTTGAACGATTGAAAGTCTCGGAAACCTAGGCCCTTTTTACTCTTTGAACTGGTCATCTTCCCCCCGCCTCCGTCGAGGTTCTCTTTCCACCGCAAGTTGCAGATATAAGCATTGAGCTTGTCACAAAATTTCTTTAGGAAAATGAAACAAGCCATGGCATACGATGGGATAACTTGTGCAACAGATTTGATGAGAGTTTCCCTTCCCGCATGTGACAACAAGTGTGCCTTCTACCCACCTAGCTTAAATAGCACCTTCTCAATTAAGAAACTGTACGCCTCCAATTTTGATCGGCCCTAACATAATGGCAATCCCAGATTTTTGGCTCTAGATTTCACTTGTGCTACACGCAACAAATCCCCCAGCTGCTTTTGGCCAATCAGATCCGTATTTGTTGAAAATTGAAGGCTCGATTTCTAAAAATCACTGATTGGCCAGAGGCAACCTCGTAGAGCTTTAGCAACCTAAACACCTCATAGCATTGCCTCTCCTTGACTTTAAAAAATAATAACACATCATCAGCAAAGCGAAGGTGAGACAAAACTGGACATGTACATTTAATCTTAAGGCCCGACAGACTATTGTCATGGACACTCTTAGAAATCAATATGGACAACACTTTCATCACCAAGAGAAACAAGTATGGAGATAATGGGTCACCTTGCCAGAGACCCGTCGAAGGTGTAAAGCTTGTTCTCTTTGCCCCGTTAACAACAATTGAGAAGGTCACAATAGTAACACATTCTATAACCTGTTGTACCCACCATCGCCCAAAACCCAATTTTGTCAAAACTGCTTGGAGAAAAGGCCATTGAACTTTATTATGCGCCTTATTGAAGTCTAATTTCAAGGCCAAATCTGAAATCTTGCCTTTCCTAAGTTTCAGAGCATGAAAGACTTCATGTGTAAAAATAATGTTATCTTGGATTAGGCGCCTTGGCAAGAAAGTTGACTGAGTAGGAGACACAATCTCACCAAGTACCTGTTTAAGTTGATTTGCCAATACTTTTATGATAACCTTCATAAGGAAGTTGCACAAACTGATTGGTCTGAACTGGGAAAGAGTTTAGTTTCAGGAGCATTAACTTTAGGAATCAACACCAAGTTTATTTCCTTAAGTAAAGAACCACTTCGGAAAAAATCTTTCACCACTAAGCATACATCGCCACCTGCCACATCCTAAAATTTTTGGTAGAAGAAATCGGGAAACCCATCAGGGCATGGGGCCTTCAAAGCTCTAAGTTGGAAAGCCGCTTCTTTGATTTCTAAATCTATAACCTCTTGGACGAGCCGAATGTTCATTATTTCTGAGATAACTGGGTCCACCACTTCCAGTGCTTCGTCAATTCTACTTGGGGCCTCACCATTGTACAACTGACTAAAATAATTGAAAAGATGATTATCAATGTCTGTGTCATCTAAAAGCCACTTCCCCTCCTCATTCTTTAACTTGACCAATTGATTTCTTTGTCGCCGTTGGTGAACTGTAGCATGAAAAAATGCAAAATTTTTATCCCCGAAGTTAAGCCAATTAATTCTTGATCGTTGATGGAGAAACATTTCCTCTCTAAGCAACAAAGTCTCCACTTCTGACTTCACTTGACTTTGAGGCATTAAGTTTTCGATAGAAGGAAGTTGCCCTTGCAAGATTGAGAGTTGGTGGTGTAGCAAATCCAGTTGAATCTTGTTATTCCTGAACTCCTCCTTATTTTGATTGAAGATTCTTCAGATAACTCTTCATTTTTTGGACTAGCTGGATCATAAGAGGCCCTGCTGGTATGGAACCCCAAGATGATTGAATAATTTGTGTACACCCAGGATTAGTCACCGACATAGACTCAAACTTGAAGACTTTAGGAGTTCTTTTAGGGGTTACACAACAATTTATGATAACCAGGTAGTGATTCGAACCCAAACAGAAGTCATGATGAACCTGAGTATAAGGAAACATATTACGCCAATCCACTGTAGCCAACGTACGATCCAAGCGCTCCTGAACATTATTGCTTCCAATTTGGTTGTTGGACCAAGTATAGGAGTTTCCTTTAAACTCAAGATCAATTAAATCACAACTTGAAATCATTTCTTGAAAATCGGCCAGTTGTGATCGGTTACATTCATACCCTCCCTACTTTTCCCATATTGAAGCCACTTGATTTAAGTCCCCCATAACCAGCCAAGGATATCAGATTACCCATACGAGTCAAATAATTACAGAACTCTTTTTTAGCATGTCTTTGAGGAAGAGTATAGACAAAAGAGGCCGCCTAAGGATGGTTACCAGCACCAGACACAACACATCGAATAATATTTTTAGATTTCTATTGAAAACATCCACAAATAATTCATCAGTCCATCAAAGCGCTAACCCACCTGAAAGTCCTTCGAGATCAACATAACATGTGTGAGAAAAATGGAGTCTACAACGAATTCGCTCCAATTTTGCAACTTTATTCTTTGTTTCCATCAAAAAGACCACCGCAGGACGATGGGTTATACATAACCCTCGTAAGATCTAGACTGTCAGAGTATGCCCCAACCCCTAACAGTTTGAAGGGGCTGAATGTGAAATGGGTCGGGTCTAAGCCTTGGGCCGGCCCAATCCATTGAAGTCCAAATCCAAGTGGGTTGGATGAGTATATGGGCAAACCAATTGAACCCAACTTCATGATCAACAGTCCACCCAAGTCCTCAAGCACTTGGGCCCAACCCACAGTGGAAAGGCTAGTCCAGCCGTGGTGCTGGGCTGGGCCGAGCTGTAGGACTGAACCTATGGGCCGAACAGAAAATAGGCCGAACCCATACAAAGATATCCGAATGGATTAGCCTATCTCCATGAATGATCTTGTAAAAGGCCAAGACAAGGCATAATTATGCCGAGCTGAGGCACAGCGGTACCGAGCTGAGGCACAGTGGTACCGAGCTGAGGAAACCTCGCAAGGAAACATGAAAGTTGTAAATGTGTACATGTGCAAGTTGCCACCTCAGCTAGTCCCCTACACCTAGAATCATAGAAGTTGTTGAACCAAAGGAATGTGGTTTGTTATCAGCATGACTACAATGAATATATGCATTCAATGACAACTACCAGGTGGTCCCCCACCTTGAGCAATGCTAAAAGGACACCTGGCAGCATCCAAACTCCATGAACCCACCTTGAGAAGCAAGCAAGGGACACTATATATACAACATGGACTTCACATTGAAGGTAACTGAACTATTCCAAGAAAAACCACATTTGGATATAAACTCAACTCAATATACACTCCTTCTCCGATCACTGATTCCCACACCGGAGGGGTTATCCGGCCAACCCCGGCCGGGCAGCTCTAATGGTGCTTCTTGTGGCAGGAACCTCAGTCCCTGGATAGTCCAACCGAGCGCAAGGCCCCGATCTACTTTCATCTAGTGCGGAATCCGGTACGCACAATTAGTACGGTAAGCGTGGATCACTTCATCTCTGAGCTCTGCACTCAGTTCCAGCGAAAGGGATTGAGGACATTCCGCCTTCAGCACATACCCCACAGACGGAGAAGACAAAGGAAAAAGGCTTGGCACTCCCAATAGTTCTGGAAGAACAAACTGGAAACAATAACCGGGCCCCTGAATCCGTCGAGCATTGATTACCCTTCGCTGGAGGTTCTTCTCATCGCTTTCTTCTGGAAAAGGATTATAGGGATCGAATCATAGACTCTATGGGGATGGAGATACAGGAGCTGAAAGCCTAACTTAAGAGGGCGTTGGGCGATCCGACGGAAAAGAAGACGGAAGCGGAGTCCTCTCGTTTACGGCGGAGGAGCTCATCCAGAGAGCCACCAGTGAAGAAGTTCCCCAGGAATGAGTCCGGGCGAACAAAGCCAGCCTATCCCGGTACAGAGTGAGGCAGCAAGCAGTCACATCCGAGGGTCACACCGGAGAAGGGCCAAGAGGCAGAAGCCAGTTAGTCAACAAACTGAATACCCTCCTCAAGACCTTCATACTTGGTTGATCGGCAACAAGTAGAGCGAACAACATCGGGATCATCTAGGCTATACTGTTCACCAGAGAGAACACTGAGCGTTGGATATGCTCGTCTCCTCACCATTCTCCCCTGAAATTGAGGCCATGAGACCTCCAAAGAAATTCACCCCACCAAAGTTCACTTCATACGATGGGAAGTTAGACCCGCTGACACATATTAACCATTATAGACAAATGATGACCCTATGGAGCCGAGATAAGGCACTGATGTGTAAAGTCTTCCCATCCAGCTTGGGAGAAATCGGACTCCGATGGTTCGATCGACTCCCCGCTGGATTGATCCGTGGTTGGAAGCAACTCTCCGAAGAGTTCCTAGCCAGGTTTGTCTCCAACACTAAGATTCCGAAAAAGCCGGATACACTGTTTGGCCTTCGAAAGGAGCAGGAAGAAACACTGCGCAGTTATGCTAAGAGGTACTGGGAAGAATACAATGATCTGGAGGAAAATGTGTGTAGTGAACAGATGGCCGTCTTGTCTTTCAAGCATTGCCTGCGCTCGGAAAGTAAGTTGAGACAAACATTTACCAAGCGCCCGGCCACAACATTAAAAGACTTGCGTGCCAGGATTAAGCAATACGCTCGCCTTAAAGACGATCAGATCCCCATTGAGGTAGCATCAGCAGAACAAACAGCTTGGCACAAGAAGAGAACAGATCGAGAAGAACATAGAGGGATCGCAGTGAATGAAGTGGATAAGTCCAAATCCCACGAAGCCGTCGTGACTGTGTTCAAAGAGCCAATTTATCGAATCCTGGAAAAGATCAAGAGAGAGCCCTTCTTTGTTTGGCCGCCGAAAATGTTGGGAGATCCGGCTCGGCGCAATCAAATGCTCAGATGCAGTTACCATCAAAACAGGGGGCACATGACTCAGAACTGTAGAGCACTGAAACAACACTTGGAAGACTTAGTAGCGGCTGGGCACTTTTGGGATTACATTGATCAGGACAAGGAAGTGACCGAACCGGGGAACCCACCACCAGAACCAAATATTGAGCATCCACCTCGGCTGATAATAAATGTGATATATGGGACAGCGACTCAGGAACCTGAGGAGACACTGAGAGAAGAGATTGCTAAGGCTGTGCAAATCCAACAAGTCATGTCAGTGGAGCCCGTATCGAAAAAGGTACACGCGGTATCCAAATCCCCCTTGTGCACTGTTTCATTTACTAGAAAGGATTTAGAGGGCATACAACACTCACATACTGATGCACTGATTATAACGGTGGGAATTGGGAAATGATTTGATGTAAAACGAGTCCTGGTAGATCAAGGTAGTGCAGCAGATATATTGTATTATGATTTGTTTAGAAAGCTTGGTCTCTCCGAGCAGCACCTCACCCCAGCGGCAGCCCCGTTGGTTGGTTTCAATTCACAGCTAGAATAGCCGCTTGGCAGAATAGTGTTGCCAGTCGTGGCAGGAACAAAAACCCTCCAGCTAGAGTTCTTGGTTATTAATACACCATCCCCTTACAACGCCATACTTGGCCGTCCATGGATTTACCAAATGGAGGCAGTCCCTTCAACCTACCACCAGCTCGTCTGTTTCCCAACGGAACGCGGAGTAGAGTAGATCTCAGGGGATCAAGTTGCATCCAAACATTGCTTCATGGCAGCATTAAAGGCAAAACAACTCTGCAATTAGGTACAGACGGTAGAAGTGGCCGAACAGCCAGTCTTAGAAGGTGTGGGGGGAGCCCCAGAGGAGAAGATAGTAGAGGATTTGGAGAGAGTCCTTGTAAAAGAGGATGACCCAGAAAAGTACTTCCTTATCGGTACCTCGCTAGGCGCTGATGAGAAACTTCAGCTGCTGGAACTACTGAGGGAAATATGGAGGTATTCGCATGGTCAGCATATGATACTCCAGGGTTGGACCCAGAATTTGCTTGCCACAAGCTCAACATCAACCCTTCAGCTCGGCCCATTGTGCAGAAAAGTCGGAGATTCTCAGTTGAGCACACCGAAGGAGTAATTGTCGAAGTCGAAAAACTCCTGGCTTCAGGAGCAATCAGAGAAGTTCAGTACCCGCAATGGTTGTCTAACATAGTTGTAGTCAAGAAGAAGAACGGAAAATAGAGAGTTTGCGTTGACTTCACTTGCTTGAACAAAGCCTGCCCTAAAGATAGCTTTCCGCTGCCTCGCATTGATCAACTAGTAGACTCAACAGCAGGGCATGAGCGCATGAGTTCTTTGGACGCTTATAGCGGTTATCATCAGATACCACTGTTCGATTTGGATCAAGAAAAGACAGCATTTATCACTCCGAGAGGAACTTACTGCTACAAAGTAATGCCGTTTGGCCTCAAGAATGCCGGAGCAACCTACCAGCGGATGATCACTCGGATGTTCAAAGACCAACTCGGGAAAACCATGAAAGCTTATATAGATGATATGGTAGTCAAGAGCAAGTTCGCTACAGACCATCTTACAGACTTGAGAGAAGTTTTCGGCATCTTAAAAAACCATCAGCTTCACCTAAATGCCTCGAAATGCGCTTTCGAGATAGGAACAGGGAAGTTCTTGGGATACATGGTCACTCATAGAGGAATTGAGGCAAATTCGGACCAAATAAAAGAAATACAAGATCTTGAAGTACTAACAAAGGCCAAGGAGTTGCAGAAACTGGCCGGAATGGCGGCCGCATTGAATCGGTTCATCAGCAAATCTTCAGATCGGATGAAGCCCTTATTCCAGCTTTTGAGGAAAATGGCAGCATTTGAATGGAGTTGCGAGTGCACCGAAGCACTGCAAAGCCTCAAAAGATATCTCAGTACACCTCTCCTTCTATCTACTCTAAAGCTAGGAGAGGAGCTGTACCTCTATCTAGCAGTCTCAAATCATGCCGTAAGCACAGTATTAATTCGAGAAGTCAACAAGGAACAGAGGCCTGTATACTACGTTAGCAAGACTTTACTAGATGCCGAGACACAGTATCTACCATTGAAAAAGTTAGCTTATGCACTGCTTATCGCCTCGAGGAAGTTACAGCATTACTTCCAGGGGCATGCCATCAATGTCCTCACTGAATTCCCCTTAAGATTTGTGTTTAGCCGAGCCGATTTCTCTGGCAGAACAGTAAAATGGACGGTAGAACTTGGCGAGTTTGACATTTGGTATCAACCCAGGATAGCAATTAAGGCCAAGTCTTAGCAGATTTCGTTGCAGAATTTTCTCCCACCCAGAGTACCGAACAAGGGAATCCAAGTTCGGTACAGGTGCTATGTATCACCGAACAAGGAAAGGCCTGCGCTTCGGAAGCCTGGAAACTCTTCATTGGAAACATCTGGCAGCTCTATGTTGACGGGTCGTCCAATAACCGAGGTTCGGGGCAAGAGTAGTACTTATCTCACCAGAAGGATTTATCTGGGAACAGGCCCTCAGGCTCGGTTGGAAGGCTTCGAACAACGAGGCAGAGTACGAAGTGTTGTTGGCTGGCTTACGCAGTGCCGAACACTTTAGTACAGAATAACTTCTTGTTTTCAGTGATTCACAGCTAGTGGTAAACCAGCTTTCTGGGGTCTATGAAACATGGGATGAGAGAATGGCCATGTACGCAGGCAAGGCCAAAGACCTACTCAAAAAGTTTCAATCCATCTGAGTGGAACGAATTAGTCCGGACAAAAACGGCCATGCTGATGCTCTGGTTTGTCTCGGCTCATCAGTGGATACCAAAGATGCCAGAAAAGTTTGGGTTGAGTTCGTGCCAGAACCAAGCATTGCATCTCCAGTCCTCTACAGCAGCGTAGAGCCGAGCTGGATGGATCCAATACTTGCTTTTCTAAAATTTGGTACTCTCCCCGAAGACAAAAAGGAAGCCAACAAAGTCAGACATAAGTCAGCTCAGTTTTGGATCTCACCATCCGGGAAGCTATACAGACGCTCCTATCTTGGCCCTTATCTTCTATGTGTGCATCCAAATCTGGTCGAGAATGTTCTCTACGAAATTCACGATGGGATTTATGGATGCCACGTTGGCGGAAGGTCACTGGCGCACCGAGCCTTCACTCACGAATATTGGTAGCCACGGATGCAACAAGATGCTCAGCAGTATGTACAGAAGTGTGATAAATGTCAGAGGTTTGCTCCATTCATTCATCAGCCAGCCAAAACTCTCACTCCATTCACCAGCCCATGGCCTTTTGCCTAATGGGGCCTGGATATTGTCGGACCATTAGCGCGAGGCACGGGGAACAGATGGTTCTTCATTGCTGCAACCGACTATTTTACTAAGTGGGTCGAAGTCGAGGCATTGACAAGTATCAAAGAAGTGGATACAAAGCGGTTTGTCATGAGAAATGTGGTGGTGCGTTTTGGCATCCCACGAGTATTGATTGCGGATAATGGGACGCAGTTCGATGGTAAGATCTTTAGAAAGTTTTGTGTCGACCTCAGAATTGAGTATAAGAACTCTTCTCCAGGGTACCAGCAAAGCAATGGATAGGCAGAGGCGTCAAACAAAACCATCATCAACGGAGTAAAGAAACGACTTAAGCATGCCAAAGGAAAATGGGTTGAAGAGTTACCCCACGTGCTATGGGCATATCGAACCACAGCATGACGCTCAACGGGGGAAACACCTTACTCCCTAACTTATGGAATGGAGGTCGTCATCCCACTCAAAGTAGGCCTCCCAACCCTTCGATCTGAATTGTTTGAGAACACCAGTAGTGAGGAAGCTATTGCACGAGCACTGGATATGGCAGAGGGCCGAAGAGAAGCAACACTGATTAGACTTGTAGCGTACCGGCAACAGCTCATCAAGAGTTTCAACCAAAAAGTTTTCCCAAGGCAATTTACACCAGGAGAACTGGTTTTGAGAAAAGTTATGGATCACAAAAGGGTGCCTGGCGAGGGCAAACTTGGGCCTAATTGGGAAGATCCCTACAAAGTCACAATTGTTGTTGGAAATGGAGCTTACTACCTAGAGGATCTGAATGGCAGAACTATGCCTCGGCCCTGGAACATAGCAAATCTCAAGAAATACTATCAATAGAATTATCCTCCAACTTCTCTATCAGAATGTAAAGGCATTTATCTGTTGACCAATGCAAATGCTTCCCCGCTTCTCTCAAATTTATCAAATTCTTGTAATTAGCTTTGGTTCTTATCAAACAGAATTAGCTTTGATGTTTATCAAACGGAATTAGCTTTGGTTCTTACCAAACGGAATTAGCTTTGATGTTTATCAAATGGAATTAAATTTGGTCCTCACCAGATAAAATTAGCTTTGATGTTTATCAAACGGAATTAACTTTGGTCTTTACCCAAATGGACTTAGTTTCAGAGCGACTGGACGGAATATAAAATTTGGTTAGCACTCAAACATGCTAAGTGGTATTGCTTGGTGGAATAATGTTTGGCAACTAAATTGGACTTTAGCCAAGTGGAATTTCTTGGTGGAAACCACACTAACATATCTTAAGTAAATGTCTTTGAATCCATAGAATTCCTTAAGTACCAACACGTCAACACTTCAGTACTGATTCAAACAAACAGAGTTGGAACAAGCATGACCAGGTTCTGTCAGGAGTAAACTTCCAGCATTAGTCTTACTCAACTCCAGGTGGGGGCAAACAATTGTTTTTAAAAAAAAAAAACCAACCTAGACCTGAGTAAGACACCTCTTCATGCCTTTATCTCATTCAAGTGCATCTACGCTCTCAAAGTTGCAACAGACTTAAACAGTTCTATCTAAGAGCACAATCTTCAGTACCAATCTTACTTAGCTCCAGGTAGGGGCAAACAATTGTTTTCTTTCAAAACCAACCTGGACCTAAGTCAGACCCACTTACAAACTCAAGCATAGCCATACCACATATCCGTTAGCCACATTGAGCATTAGTTCGGCCCCGAGGTCCCAACAGTGCTCGGCCGGGGGCAAACAGTACAAAGCCACACCGAGCATCAGTTCGGCCCCAAGGCCCCAACAATGCTCGGCCGGGGGCAAGCAGTACAGAATCAGACAGAGCATCTATTTAAAAGCAGTACAGAACCAGACCAAGCATCTATTCGGCCCTGAGGTCCCAACAGTGCTCGGCCGGGGGCAGACAGTATAGAAAACATTCAGACATAAAAGCCAAACAGCATCAGATTGCAAGTTTAAAGAGAAAATTCTATCATCCAACAAAAGGCACAGATGGTCTCATAACCAGCAGCAAAGAAAAGAAAAGAGAAAAGAAAAATTGTCTTGGCAAGTGCAGAAAGAAAGCTTGTCATGGAGACCGAGCCACAATACATCAAAACAAAAAAGCAAAAAAGTCCAAATCCTTTCAACATCAACTTTCATTAACAGAGGGAAACTCAGGAGTAGCATCAACAATTTCATCCAGCCCGTCTGGGGAAGGAAAAGTAAAGGCAGCTCCAACTTCTTGAGAAGTAGAGGCCTCCTTAACCACATCTCCCGCGGTTTTGGTCTCTAGGGTTTCAATCCCTTCAACATCCACCGTTTCAGCAGCAACATTACTGTCCTGGGTCTTGTTTGCAGAATCAGCTTCTGGGGAAACTTCGGCTAGAAGAACAGCAGGGGTGGAAACAGTCTTCGAACCCAAGGATCTCGAAGGAAGGGGGACATCCTAAACAGGGAAGAGCCTTCAGGAACCAGCGCAGCAGCCAAAGCACTCGTCCAACCCTTTAGAAAGAGCTTATCTCGTAGCACTAGCACCTCTTCTTTATAGGCAGCCCCAGCTTCATCCCAACCTTGTTGCCAGTGTTTGGCTTCCAGCGCAGAACGCTTGGCAGCTATCACGGTAATAACGGCCTCCAGTTCGGCCACCTTCTCCTCAAGTTGAGTCTGTGTCCCAATAGCAGCCTCCTTCAATTTTTCAACTGAAATGACAATCTTGTTCAAACGAAATGCTTCCCTCTCCGCGGTTCCGCCCTTCTTTCTCTGTCTCCAAGCTTGCCGTCAGTCTCTCAGCATTCATTGTGGCCTTCAGCACGGCCCTTTCTAGCTTTTCAGCACGGGTAATAGATAGATGCATTCTTTGGATACATTGCAAAGGACAACGAAGAATTAAGAGAAAAGGAGACAACAACACAATAATAAAGACAAGTAAAACGAGGAAACACTTACAATAGTCATCATCTGAAGGGTCCTCTTTAGGATAGGAATATCACGGGGCCCATTATGGTCGGCCATGTCAACCGGCATCAACAAAAACTTAGTCAAATCAAAGGCAAAATCCTATGAAGCGACAGCTGAATCAGAAGTGGAAATGGGCCTGCCTTTATGCGACATTAGCGGCTTCCATTTCTCAAAAGCCTCATCCTCAGCAGGATCCTCAGAAGTTTCCCCACCACTGCTTTGCCAGCCTCTCTTCTTCTCTTTTTTGCTCACGTAGCGACCGAAGCCGAGGGCTTGGCAGCAGTCGCAGGGGTCCTAGAAGCTCCCACCTCCATCTTCACTTCCATGAGGTTTTTCGCCTCGGTCTTTTCCAGAGGGGTTTCCAAAACATCGGAGGCTCCGAAAGCCTCGACCTCTAAATCCACCAACACCCTTCTCTTCGCCACAGACCCGCCCCCTGCGAAACTGGGGACAGGGGAGGGCGCTCTCTCAGAAAGCGCACCCTGACTCCTGCGACGGTTCGTGACCAAAGGAGTGAGAGACGTGTCAGTCTCGGTATCAGAGTCAGGAAGGGAAGCAGCGAGCCTCGCCTTCTTTGGAATAGTGAAGCGGTAAGTAGACTGGTATTCCAATAACTCGGGTGCAGATCTCTTTTTATACCTCATGGCAGCTTTTATGGCTTCAGCATTCTCTCGGTTCGGTCTTCGTTGGAATCGAGAGGCCTCTGCAAAAAAAGAAGTGACCTATTAGAGCAACATCCAAAATAAAGTAAGAAATACAAAAGGCATTAGAAGGAGAGGCCCGAACCTGGGTAGCCGTCTTTCTGGGGCATCCGCTCAGACTGAAACTGAGTTCCGGTGGGGAACTCCTAGTTTCTACTAACTTGTAAGAAATCATCGATGTGTTTATCCGAATCGGGCAACCCAGTAATCAAATGACAATCAAACGAGCGAACACGCAAGTAATACGTGCTGTGGTCTTTGTTATGAGAAAGAGTATAACAACCAAAGATATCCCATATGTCAAGGTTCAAACCCAATCGTTTATTGAGAGCGGATACGCCACAAACAACACGGAAAAGGTTCATAGATACTTGCATTGGGGTTAATTGGACTTGATGCAGAAACCGACGCACCAACGGATCAAGGAGAAACTGAACCCCTCCCTCGACTATGGCCACAATGGGAAAAGCGACGGTATTCCTCGTGCCTATACGCCTGGCGTCTACTTTCGCCAATGAAAGAGTAACGTCGTCGGGAATATTATAGTCCAGGCGGAACATAGCCATGTCCTCGGGGGTATCAACCAGTGACCGGAACTTCCCCATTTAACAAACCTAATGGGACAGAGGTAGGACTCAGATAACAGAATATGGAACATAGATAGTGAGTGGGCCAGACAAGATGATTAAGACAGAAAGAGGCAAGAGAAGAAGAATCACAAGAGGACTTACAGAGACTAGAACAGTGGTAGCAGAGCAAGACCAACGGCGAAAAAGTCTGAGTAGAGCACCAACGAGACTGGTTCAAGAGGAACGAGAAGAGTTCTTTCTCTCTCTTTGAAACTCTTTAGAGGAATGAAAAAGAAGATAAAGGGATTTATATTGACAGCCAGAGCATTAATTGCACCAGCCGACGCGCAGGTAGACGGAGAACGACCTTCGGTATGGAATCGACGCACTATCGCTGCACACCTATCTTACATCGCCACGTGTCACCATGAAAGGACGTATGCAGGGATTGTGTCAAAATTGAACCGTCACCAAGGCCGAACTGGAGAAAACCAAAATGATGCGACACTGGGGAAGCAGAACAATAGCTCTCCCCAAGGGGAACCTTAGCGCGAGATAGGGGGCAAATGAAAGGGCTGAATGTGAAATAGGTCGGGTCCAAGCCTTGGGCCGGCCCAATCCACTGAAGTCCAAATCCAAGTGGGTTGGATGAGTATATGGGCAAACCAATTGAGCCCAACTTCATGATCAACAGTCCACCCAAGTCCTCAAGCACTTGGGCCCAACCCACAGTGGAAAGGCTAGTCCAGCCGTGGTGTTAGGCTGGGCCGAGCTGCAGGACTGAACCTATGGGCCGAACAGAAAATAGGCCGAGCCCATACAAAGATATCCGAATGGATTAGCCCATCTCCATGAATAATCCTGTAAAAGGCCGAGACAAGGCATAATTATGCCGAGTTGAGTCACAGCGGTACTGAGCTGAGGAAACCTCACAAGGAAACATAGAAGTTGTGAATGTGTGCATGTGTAAGTTGCCACCTCAGCTGGTCCCCTACACCTTGAATCACGGAAGTTGTTGAACCAAAGGAATGTGGTTTGTTATCAACATAACTACAATGAGTATATGCATTCAATGACAACTACTAGGTGGTCCCCCACCTTGAACAATGCTAAAAGGACACCTGGCAGCATCCAAGCTCCATGAACCCACCTTGAGAAGCAAGCAAAGGACACTATATATACAACATGAACTTCACATTGAAGGAAACTGAACTATTCCAAGAAAAACCATATTTGGATATGGAGAGAGAGTGTATGATTTGGGCTTCTAAGGAGGATAAACTATCCATGTGCTCAGTAACAAAATATGAGGGTCTAGGTAGGCCCGAGGAATCAAGAGAAACTAATAGTGCTTTAGGAATATAGGTCCTTGAGCAGGGCCTAGAAAGCTCTCCACCTTTCTCAACAAACCTACTAGCTTGATGCCCAGGTCCAAAAGAATTAACTGTCAAGACACCTGGCCCAGTGGACATTTATAGCCTAAAGCCTTGGCCAGTTTGGCCTTGTAATGATATCGATTGATTAAGTTTAACCTTCAACCTTTCAGAAGCTTCAATCTTTTTGGCTGAATTATGTGGTATTACCGAGTGCAGATCCTCTCCTTGCAAAGCCATACTTGCGAGCATCCTTGCAACGATTGAGATCAGCCGTTGCACATCCAACGGCTGAGATTAAAACAAAAAAAAAAAAATTGATATTTCACGTTCTTCCCGCCCAAAACAGAACACAGCTTTGGTTTCAGATTTTCATGGGGAAACACAAAAACACGATTTGATTCAACACCTCCTCATTCCTTCTTGTCCGAACCCACCCTAGACGACGATCTAATACCAGCTGCGACCCAGTCTACCTAGTCTCGACGCCGTTGAAACCACTGGTGAGTTCCCCTTTGTCTCTGTAAATCAGAGGTTTGGCAAATTTATGATTAACTAGTACTCTATTTCTTTCCCCTTAACTGTTCTTCTTAACAGTGGATCAAATACGTAAATTCATTTGTGTTTGTATAAAATTCTTTAGTTTTCGAGTTTTTTTTTTAATTAATTACTTAACTGTTGTTCAATTTCTATTCTTCAAATTCTTAACTGTTCTTCAATTACGTAAATACGTAAATTCTTTAGTTCTCGGGTTTGTATAAAATTTCTGTTCTTAACAGTGGATCAAATACTTAACTATTCTTCAATTTTTTTTAATTAATTTTCATTTCTGTGTTTTTGTGGGTCTTTTTTTTCCTGATTTTTCGTCAGTAGTTCATTCTTGAAGCTGTAATTTATTTAATCAGTCATGTGAACAGATAAGGTTTTACTAGAATGTGATGAATTTTTTAGAAATCAATTTAGAAATCCTATCTGTCTCAGTCTCAGTCTCAGTCTCAGTTTAGAAATCAATTTTTTTTAAATGGATAATCTGAAATTTATGGATGGTCTGTTGTTGAACTGATTAAAAAATGGATGATCTGTTGTTCAATACCGTTGAGGCACATTAGAAATATGTTTCTAAATTACAAATCTATTATATATCATCTAGTCGAATCAGTATTATTCTGCCTATGTTCATTATTCTGCCTATGTTCATTATAATCTATTATATATGTCCATTATATATCCATCATAGATGATCTGTTGCTATATGTCTCTAATAACCTATTGTGAAGTGATCTGTTGTGTTTATTGATGTAGCTAAGATATGGAACCTGAGAATGATTGTGCTTGGAAGCCAAAACAGGGAATGACATTCGATTCTGAACAATGTGTGTATGATTTTTATAATACATATGGAGGAACATTGGGGTTTAGTATAAGAAGGGATTTTTGTAGGAAGAACAAGATCAATAACCAATTTATTTGTAGACTTTTGGTTTGCAACAAAGAGGGATTTCGGAAGGGTGACAAACGAGACCCATTGTCAAAAAACCCAAGAGCTGAAACTAGGACCGGTTGTGAGGCTCGACTTTATGTCAAATTAGATGAGGGTACTGGAAAATATGTTGTGACTGATTTCAAAGAAAAACACAACCATGATCTTGTATCACCCGAGTGTGCCTACATGTTGCCGTCACAAAGAAAGATATCGACTACCCAAGCAATTGAGTTAGATTTGGCGGCACAATCTGGTCTTCGTTTAGGCCAATCTTTTGAACTCATGGGTAGGGAAGCTGGTGGGAGGCAATGTCTTGGGTTTACAAAATTAGATCTGAACTCATGGGTAGGGAAGCTGGTGGGAGGCAATGTCTTGGGTTTACAAAGTTAGATCAGAAAAATTATTTGAGAACCAAAAGACAACAAAGTTTAGCATATGGGGAAGTAGGCAATGTATTGCAATACTTTAAAGAAAAATCTTTGCAGAATCCTTCCTTCTTTTATGCTTTCCAGTTAGATAATGAAGAGCAAATAACGAATATGTTTTGGGCTGATGCACAAATGATCATGGATTATGCCCAATTTGGTGATGTTGTCACTTTTGATACTACTTACAAGTTAAACAAAGAACATAGACCCTTCGCGTCTTTTGTGGGATTCAACCATCATAGGGAAACAGTTATATTTGGTGCAGCCTTGTTGTATGATGAGACCGCCGAATCGTTTGTATGGTTGTTTCAAAATTTTCTAGAGGCTATGTCAGGAAAGGCACCAAAAACGTTGTTCACTGATCAAGATGCTGCAATGGCTAAAGCCATACCCATCGTTATGCCTGACACAAGTCACTGTTTGTGTACTTGGCATTTGATGCAAAATGCATTAAAACATGTTAATTGTTTGTTCCAAGATAATGGGGTAAAGGGTGTACTAAATAAGTTCTTCTTTGACATTGAAGATACAAATCAATGGAAGTTAGAGTGGGCGGAAATGCTTGATAAATATGATGCGCATGAAAAACATTTGTTGAAATTGACATTTGCGGTGAAAGAAAAATGGGGTTGGCCATATGTTAGATCAACATGGGCTGCGGGAATGAGTACCACACAACTTAGTGAATCTTTTAATGCTTTTTTGAAGGATTACATTCGTTCTGATTTTAACTTAAATGAATTCTTCATGCATTTCGAAAGGGTACTTTACAAGAAGCGATACAAGGAGTTAGAAGCAGGATATGCTTTGTGCCAAAGGTGAAAGCAACAAAAAGAATGTTAATTCAAATGGGTAATGTTTACACAAAAAAGATATTTGAAGAATTTCAAAATGAGTACTTTCGATCCATTGAATCGGACATAGAAGCAATTGAATATGGCGAGGCTAGTACCATTTACACAGTTGTTGATGTTGGTAACAAACATGCACGGAAAGTGAAGATAGAGAGGGATGGGTCATTGGGTTGTAATTGTACAAAGTTTGAAAGGGAAGGAATCTTGTGCTGTCACTCATTGAAGGTTTTTAGAGACATATTGAAGATGAAAGAGATTCCTCCACAATACATTCTAAAGAGGTGGACGAAACAAGCAAGAGCCGAAACTGTGAAGGACATTAAGGGAAATGACATTGAAGTGGATGTGAAATTCCAACAAGCCTCGCGGTATAAGACATTGATGACCGCATTTAGAGCACTAGCAAGTAGAGCTGTTGAAACTGAAGAAACTTATGATTTTTGTATTGCACACCTTGCTACATTAGGTGCAAATGTTGAAGGCAAGTTAGGTGCTCTTTTTGGTGTTGGAAATGAAGTAAGTAATGATCATGACACCCAAAGCTTTGAAGTGGATTGCGAAGATGTGAATCATGTTGTGCAACCAAAAGGATTTAAGAAAAAACTGGCAACTAGTAAGGGCAAAAGGAGGGTAAAAGGTGGATTCGAAGCGGCGTTGATAGCGAACTCTAAAAAAAAATCCCATGCTAACAGCTTGGCTTCGTCACAATCTATTGCAAGTCCAACAGTTGCACCTTCTCCATTATCTGTTGGAGGAGATATCTATGTTCGTCAACATGTTCCTCCTCTTCAACCTCTTCCTCCCCTTTATCCTTTTCCTCCATCTTTGCCCATGGGTGGTAATTCTATTCCTTCGTCATTGATGAATCCCACATATCATGTAAGTGTTAGTGCAATGTATGTATTTTTTTTATGGATATAATATGTGACTCAACCCATAATTGCGAAGCCTGATATATGACATTGTTCTTTGCCAATTTGCAGGACATGTATGTAGTGCATAATTCTATGCCTCAACGGTACCCTGCACTGAACCAACATTCCATTCACTACTTCAAGGTTCATATGGATATGACATTGGGTTTCGATATTCTCAAGAATCAAACAGTCCAATGTGGAGTCAGGTTTATCCTTGCTGTCTTTTGAATTTGTAGTTACTTAAAATTCTGGATTTTGAGTTGCTGAAAATTCTATTTGAAGTAGTTTTTTTTTTCAATTAAATTTTGTGTTTGTCCATTTCAGGCTATGGACAAGCACAAAGACAAGCAAACTGAGAAGTGAAGTAATGGCCTTTATGTGTGTTCAAATGCCTTGCTGGTTGGAAAGTGATGTTGAAATTGCTGTTCAAACTCCACTCCAATGTTTGTTGAAATTGTGTTAAACATGTGTGTTCAAACTACTGCTGTATGTGGGTTGAAATTCTGATTGTGTTTAATGAGAATGATTGTGTTAAAATTCTGATTGTTTTTAATGAGAATGATTGTGTTAAAATTCTAATTGTATGTTAATGGCTTGTTAACTGCTGGGAATGGTATGCTAATGATAGAACCAAAATGTGCCATAACATGTGTTGCATCTGCTAGTATGGTCTGGTCTGGTTCTGGTCTGTTTTGGTCTAGTTTGGTCTGGTTCTGGTCTGCTCTGCTCTGCATCTGCTAGTCTGGTTTGGTCTGGTTCTGGTTTGGTCTGGTCTGCATCTGCTAGTCTGGTCTGGTTCTGGTCTGGTTTGGTCTGTATGTGCTAGTCTGGTCTGGTCTGGTTCTGGTCTGCATCTGTTAGTCTGGATTGGTCTGGTCTGAATCTGCTATAGTTCAACACACCCCTTGATAGAATTCAAAATAGTATCAGATAACATAAATAATGGTTTTGGTATTCAACAAAATAGTATCAGATAACAACAATGCTATTTTGGCACTAAATAATATCAGATAGCATAAATAATGGTCTGCTCTGGTCTGCTGGGAATGGACTGCTCTGGTCTGAATCTGCACTCAACAATGCTGTATTGGTTTGTGATTGTGTTTTCAAATAGTAACAGATAGGTTCATTGATAACATTCATTTATAACAGATAATAACAGATAACAGAGGTTCATGGTTTTGGTACAGGTTCATTGATAACATTCATTGATAACAAATAACAGTAATGGTTCAAATGCCATACATGGTTGGTAACAGATAACAGTTTTGGCACTCATTCCATGGTTTTGGTACAGGTTCATGGTTCTGCTAGAGCTGTCTTGGTTCCATCATTCATTCATTCATCATTCATTGATAACATATAACATTCCATCATTGATAACAGATAATATGGTTTTGGTACAGATAATAACAGATAATATTCATTGATAACAAATAATAACAGATAACAGAGGTTCATGGTTTTGGTACAGGTTCATTGATAATATTCATTGATAATAGATAACAGTAATGGCCATCATTCATTCATTCATTCATTCATTCATTCATTCATTTATTCCAAAATTCATTCCAAAATTCATTCATTCATTCTATCATTCATTCATTTCAAAATGTTCCATACTTCATTCAGCAGATAATAGATAATTCATTCATTCCAAAATTCATTCATTCATTCGAAAATGTGCCATATTTCATTCCAAAAGTCATTCCATCATTCATTCCAAAGTTGAGGCCACAAGTTAAGGGAAATAGATAATAGATAATAAATAACAGATAACAAGTTCATGTACATACAACCCAAAATGCTACAAACTTCCAAGTTACATCATAAAGTAGAAAATGGTAGCAAATACAATGAAGTACACCATCGCTTTGATATTCCTTTCCATCATTTGAAGCCTTCGACCATAGTTCGTTTCCATGTAATGAAGCCTCGTCCTTACATCGTTAAAGTCTTGTACTATTATACCATCACAAGCTGTACAGTTTGTACGGATTCTGGACGTAACGTCTTCATCATCTTCATCCACGAACTTGAAGTAATTGCAATGAGGAGTGGGAGTCTTACTCTGCAATGCATGAGAATAAGTTAGTCGAAGAAGATAAATATTAATGTGACTACTAAATGAAGAAAATAGCTAGAATTACAAACTTACATATCTTGATGGGCAAACAAAGAACAAACGCCCTTCATTTCCATTCTTATTGGTTTTTATAATACGTATGGCAGCGGTTCTTCTACAATTGCACATCCTCGGTTGTAATCTTATGTTGCTAATGGTAGAAGAAGATGCCATTTTTCAAAATCTGCATACATAACAAATTTTTGAACCATGGTAGTTCCATAGAGGAAAAAGGACATTTCAGCTTTGAAATGGTAGTTCAAAAAAAGCCATACTTTGACTTTTGAAATGGTAGTTCGAAAAAAGCCATAGTTTAGGTGACCCTTTTAAAATTTGGCAATCTATATAAGACTAATCCAACGGAAGAATTTGTCACATTTCAGCTTTGAGAATTACTATGAATTACTTTGAGACTAATCCAAAGAAAGACATACTGTGACTTTTGGCAAAGCAAGGTTCTTTACTTGACAAAGAAAAATGTAATATAATGAAGTAAATTTTCTTTACTTTAATTGATTTCTATTTAATCAATTTGAATCTCTGAAATCTGGATTTTCAAATGTAATAGCAGGGTTCCCAAAGAATCTGCAGCACAATTTTTACTTTATTTTTCAAATCAATTACTTAGATGATGGGGATGCCATGGCTATTTTTGATGTTTTACGAAGCATTTTGGTTGTCGTACCATCAAGTTGCGATAGGGGGTGTTAAAGAGAGCTTAATCTTATGGTAAATTTATATGGTTGAATTAGGATCACTTTAATAAGGTTGAAGAGTCATCCTTATTTCATTTTCAATTACTCTCTCAACACTTCCTAATTTATGCTCCTATCTTTGTGATTCACTATTTACAAAATATCTATATTTCTGTGAATAAATGAGTATTTACTTGTGATTGGTTGAACATGAGAGTCTAGTGGTGGGATGCAACAAGTTGAACTTCCTATCTACTTGCATAGCACTTCAAAACAAGAGGAATTCTTTATCTTTCTTTCTTTTTATTTTATTTTATTTTTAATGTTTTTTGGGTATGCTGGTGAAGATCCTTATCCTCTTCAATGTTGAAAAATTACATATAATTCTTTTATTTTCTTAATGTACTCTAGTTCTGTTCTCATTCTTCCTCTAAACCTATGTGTTTAGCTTTCACACAACATAAAATAAAATGCATAAAAACATTAGTAATACCCATCCATCTAATGCAAAAACAGCCATAAAGCCATTATATAACTGTCCCTCTCAAACTAACCCAAGTTTGGTTGAGCATACAAAGGAGATGACATAAAAAAACAAAAAAATTCATAAAGACTTGCTTAATATATTTCTTCACCCACTTGATAGGTAAGTGAATATTACTTTCCTCCTATCTAACTAATTCTTTTGCTACAATGTACGATTTTAAGTGATGGTTCAGCTAAACCAAAATGTGCCATACTCAGATAATTACTTCAACTATCATATTGCCATACTCAGATAATTACTTCAACTATCATTTCATACACAGAACAAACTAATTAACACTGAAAGCCAAATCAAAGCCCAAATCAGGACTAATTTTTATTATTTATGTCAATGTTTCAGAGATTTGAAATCAAAGCCCTAATTTCTCAATCCCAAATCAAAGCCCTATTTTATGTTCGAATCCCTATTCGAATCAAAGCCAAATCAAAGCCCTATTTTCTGTTCGAATCCCAAATTGAAGCACTTTTTTCTGTTCGAATCTGAAATCGAAGCCCTAATTTTCAAATTTAAAAGATATTTTCTCAATCTCAATTACACAATCCTAACATCTTCATTTCAGAGTTTCGAATACTAACCTGGTTCCTACGTTCCTGGAAGTGGGTCGCCGGTGCCACCGTCTGGGGGACTGGTCGTCGGTGAGAGTGGATTCAGTGGAGGGGGACGAGTGTATGGGACGAGTGCAAG